TGTAGTCTATATTATATTCAAACCTAAAAAATACACTTACCTAAAATTTATTATCATTTTACAAGAAAAAGTATTAAAAAATTCAATAATAATAGTATGATATTAATAATGTATTTGTATACTATTTGATTCTACTAATGCTATGCATTTAGAAATATTAATACATTTCGAAAACGGGGGAATTATAAAATTATGTAAAACAGTCAGGTCAACACACCAACGTATCCCAAAATATCTTTATTATCTAAATGCTTCAAATATAACTCGGATGAGTCACGCTAATCCTACTCACTTTTGTCAAATATGATTTTCTATCAGTGATATAGACATCCATCAACAAAACTCCAGTATTTCAGCTTTAGGCATTTTTTCTTAAATTCACTCATATAGTTTCTATACCAAATTTTATCCACACATACTTTAAGCTTTAAAAATAGACAGAGATTCAATGCACGCTTAAAATATTCAGTTTAGAAATAGAAGAAAACAGCTGACAATTTCAAGATCGTCCCTTGAGCGTTCAACCGAAGAGTTTTCGATATGTACACAGGAAGCTCTATGTATTTTATTTCAGTTTTAGAACGGTTTGGTAATACTGTATTCAGCCATATATTTTTTTTAAATATTACAGAATGGCGCAGACCCGAAATTAAATTATCAAAATTTAGGTAGATTTTAAAATTATAACAAGATACTAAGCTAACGAATAATGGTGATAGAACCAGGGCCACCGAAAGACATGGTGGTCCTCAGGCAAAATGATCTCCTTGTGAAATCTAGAAAAAAACGGTACTCATCTTATATTTTTGCGTAAACCAGGTTACTCGGCTAAAGCTGCCGGGCTCCCCTTGTGCCTTTGCCCCGGGCATTTGTCCCCCCTGCCCCCCTAAAGAGTATTAATGTTTTCGCGTGTATTTATTTATCATAGAATTAGATTATATTCATATAGTAAATTTAAATATTTTGAAACATTGTCATTTTCATCTTATGTTGTATGTTTTTGTAAAGACCTATTGCAAGAACCTTGTATATTTGATAGATTGTTTGTTGTAATCATTTCCTTTTTTATAAATAAGTTTCATATTTTTATTTCCGACGTTCCTAGAATAGATAAAATTATAATCGAAACGTCTGATTCTGAATTTCCTAAAGAGCAATAATGTTGCATTTATCACTACTAATATTTCAGTAAAAGGATTAAATGTGTTAAAATAATTAATCATGTAAGTAATAACAAATATTTATTTTATTTTGATTTATTTAGTCCCTTAAAAAATGCAAAAAATACTAAGTACACGATTGTGCGCATAAAATTAGAATAGTAGTTTATGCAACAAGAGTACAACTACAATCATTTTTTAAATTTAAATAAGTGACAATTCTGTCAAACTAACTGGAAGTATATCTTTTAGTTATTGATCTTTTGTATTTTTATTTGGTCCATATTTAAATTTTAATCAAATTATATGAAACTAATTTAATTACGAGTATCAGAACTAAAATCCTAAAAGTGGCGGTGAAGGTGAGAACAGAGCGTCTGCCTTCCATGAGAAAAGCCCAGGTTCAAATCTGGACTGAGATCTAATTAAATTGAGTGTTTTTTTTTTATTTTTTATGTTTATTTTGTAAATTATTAAAATTCTTAAATTAATTTAAAATAAGTGATTTTTTCTTAATATCCTAAAATATTTTGTTAAATTTGTAGATTTTCGTTAGTGGGTCGTAGAAAAAATATACTGTACAATTCGAGTGAATTATCCATATTCACTAGTGTTGCAGAAAACTACTATTTATTAGGTTAATTAGGAGCGTATTACCTACCATATACAACAAGAGTTTTTTCATAATTTGTTTTACCTGTGGAAAGGGTGGTCGGAAATAAAGTCTCATTAGCTTTATGCAACCCCCTTTGTTTTGAAATAATTGGCTGTAAGACCTCATTAGTCCTACACAGTTAAAGTAAAGTCTTCTTCTTTTTTGGCAAACTGACTTAATGACAGACGCATGTGCCATGAACTTGAAAATAGCACATGGTTAATTTAATTATAACCTCAAAATTTTTTATTAATTTTCGACTAAACTAGTTAGTTGCAAAAGTGCATATAATTTTAAAATGTTTTATAAACATTTCAATGCATCGTCTAACATGTTCTTGTCAATGTATATCTAGTCTAGTTTCAATCACAATAATAATTTTTATCAATTTCACGAACCAATCTCACTAAGTAGTAAGTAAACACATTAATTGTTCATCATTCAATTTTAATTGTCCTTTAATAAATATACTAAATACCTGAGGATGAATGTATTCACATTCGAAAGCTTGGAATAAACTTATAAGAGTACACATATCGTTTTGCTGCAAACCCAATAACTCAAATTCATTTCCTAACTAGTCAGCAAAGACTTCTTTCTTGCGTTATATATACATATAGGTTTAATTATGTTTATTAGAATACGCACCTTCACCGTCATATCACCCGCTTATGAAATAGTCCAGTAAATGAAGGAGGAAAAAAAGGCAAAGTTGGACTTAATTACGCCCTATTTTCATCTTCCGGTTTTAAGTAGCTTTTGGTACCTCATTAAACTTGAGACAAAGTTTGCTTGGAAAACGCGTGCGATGGCGGAAAAAATGGCCCCAAAAGACCAGAAAAATAGGTTTTCAGCCAATATCTCCTAAAATATGGCAGTTAGAGATTTTCGGTTCAGATAAAAATTGAAGTTCAGTTAATTTTCTACAAAAATGATATTTATGATTTTTTTCGCAACATTAATATTTTCTGCAAAACAATCGGGTTGAAATTTTGAGACTCGTGAAATGTGCAAGTTTTGTACAAAATTTGAGCTGGGGGGTGTTGGAAATCCATTATTTTCAATGTTTTGGATTGTGGAAACCAATTGTAGATGGCGCCACCACATTTTATAGATTGGGAAAATCGTCGGTGCCATAAATGAGAAACCCTGTAACCAGACACTTTTGAAGGATATTTATGTTTCCGAGGGTCTTGTTTTCCTCGCAGATGAGGCATCAAGATATACTTTCTAGGAAAACAGGCTATAAGATTAATTACAGCAGGATGGACCCCACCAATTGGCCTAAAACTAGCAACAATCAGCTTTGCACATGTGGCAAAATACTGAAGTTCATTAGGTTTTTGGTAAGGAAAACTGGAAATGCCTCAAGAGTGAAGAATATTTACCCATGATACTCAGCAACAATTTCTTGCAGATTCTACGCAAATTTTTGCAAATTTTTTTGCAACCAGACTGATTGAGGTTTTTGGAATAAAGAGTTATAAATGTTCTGCATGTTTCATTTATTATAGAAAAATATATTTTTATTTATTTATATATTTATCAACGGGAGAACCTAATATAATGATACAAGAATAATATATTATAGACTAAAATATTATATAGAAAATTTTTAACGAAACTATAAGAGATTCACGGGTTAGTTGTCCGTGAATTGATGAAAAAAGTATATAAAAATACATTGCAATTATGACATAAATCTGTTCGTCACCAGTCTTCATCTGATTCTTGGTCATCAACGTCACCCTCGCCAACAACTTCTTCTGAGTCTAGAGTTTCCTCTAATTCTACCTCCTCTAATTCTACCTCCTCTAATTCTACCTCTTGGGATAACGTATTATTGCTGTCTTTATAATTAAAACACTGGCGTGACTGACACGAACTATAATTAACAATAATATTTATCAAAATAATGACAGAAAACAAACACACTTATGCCTCCAAGCGTGGCCGCATGGTTTGTAGCAGACGACACGAGCGCCACATAGAACGCACACGACGAACGACGGGAGGATCGAAAGTAACAAATTATTATAGCGTGTACATTTAGATACACTGGTTTTTTCCCGGGGTATCAAGGCTATGATTTATATACATCGATGGAAAGGTGGGAATTCCCCCGTTACACTAGTTAAGGTGTTAAAATGTTAGAAATAAAAAGCAGGGAGAAAAGAACCACCAAAAAAAAAGTGCGTTTTTTCCTTGAGCCCGCGTTTTCCAATGTTATTGAAAAATGGACGACTTGGTCAAAAAAAGTAATTGCACAATCAAAAAGTAGACATTCTTAGCTTTCGAATGATGTATCATAGAGACCAATCCGATCATGTATTAATTTTTAATTGATGGTTGTTCACAAAATTTCCCCGCGCTCCAAAAATAGCAAAAATTTGGGATTCAATAAACAAAGATTGAATGAAAATTCCAAAAAATTAGGGTATACAAATTTCACGGATGACAAAGGACCTTATGAGGACCCATAATCAAGAAAATTTTGAGAAAATTAGAGCAATACAAAAAAAATAGGAACAAATTCCTGGCGAGGTCAAAATTGCCCGGGAGCAGAAAGTTTGACCCGTATTCCGACATGGCCAAAAGAGTCAAGCGTGACTCAAGTCACAGGGTATGATAGCAGCAGAATTCCTCTTTAACATGAACTTTGAATCATGAGAAAATATGCATTTTTAACATAGTTATTGAATAATTTGTCCCCCCGCTGATGTTTAAATACACGAACTGTGCTCTCCGGCATACAACACCGAAGCTCATTATTCAAGGCGCGCTTGATGCCGTTTTTCTCGAAACCGGGCAAATTTTCGAGAAAAATCATAAGGACCATTTTTGTAGAAAATTAACTGAACTTCAATTTTTATCTGAACCGAAAATCTCTAACTGCCATATTTTAGGAGATATTGGCTGAAAACCTATATTTCTGGTCTTTTGGGCCATTTTCTCGGCCATCGCACGCGTTTTCCATGCAAACTTTGTCCCATGTTTAATGAGGTACCAAAAGCTACTTCCAACCGGAAGATGAAAATAGGGCGTAATTAAGTCCAACTTTATCCCTTTATTTATTGGACTAAAACGTGTTTCGCTGATTTTAAAACATGTTTGACGACGATGAACACGGCCAATGACTATTACAAGTGGATACATAGAATGTTAAAAAAATAATGTCTCTTTAGGTTTAGGAGTTGGATATACAAACTGACAGCAGTCTACTTTTTATGCTATTTTCAAACATGTACCAAATCAAGCTGTTTGGATGTCACCAATGAAAACGACCCCTTCATAATGACAAATTGTACACTTATCAGTTTACCATACACTTTCTATTCAGGATGGATATGTGGAGATGGTAATAAAAATTGTCAAAGAATATTGAACATACAGTCTTCAAATATACCAATTTTACCTTCAAGAGGTTTTGAAAATTTTTCCGCATACACCGTTTTCTATTTAAATGATCTCAATATAACTAAAATAATGCCAAACGCGTTTTCAGGTCATCCTATAAAGGAAATATATCTTTTTAAGAATAAACTAAAAGAAATTTCTTCAGATATTTTCAATGATTTAAAAGAATTAGAAATTCTGGATTTGTCTTGGAATGATTTAGATACATTATCTGATAATTGTTTTGTAGGTGCTGTAAATTTAAAAACTCTTTATTTATATAATAACCAATTGACTAATTTTTCTACTGCTATTATAGATCCTGGCGTTCGAATAAAATTACTTCATTTAGAAAACAACTACTTAAAGAAATTTATTGTAGAATTTATTATTAATATTGAAACAGTTTTAATGTCAAATAATAAAATGACTAATTTGGATTTTTGTCCATTAATATTTGATGTGTTTAACGTAAGCAACAATTTAATCAGAGAAATTAATATAAATTGTATTTCTAGCCATGCTCAGATTAAAGAATTTAATTTAGAATTTAATAATATATATAAAATAGATGCATTTGCATTTAAAAATGCTCCAAATTTAGAGAAACTATATTTAAATAATAATAACATCACGCATATAGCTGCTGGTTCATTTTACAATTTGGATCATCTTATAGCTTTAAATCTAAGTTGTAACAAAATAAGTTTAATTGAGGATGGATCATTTGATAATTTAAAGGATTTGCAAATATTAGATTTATCTTATAATAGAATTCAAAATATAAATCACTCTTTACATTCATTAATTTCTTTAACAAAACTGTATATTGAAAATAATACGATATCGTTTCTGGATTCAGAACAAATTTATATAAATTCTCCTCATTTATCAACTGTGTGGTTTTTTAATAATAGTCTAAGATGTGAAAATGTAATCAAACTTAACAAAGATTTTCGAAAGGAAAATATTAATATCGGTTTTAGCGATATTAGAAACGTATCCAACATTGAGGGAATTATTTGTATCACAACTTCCATTACAGAAAATCCAGCTGTCAGAAACATACAAACATTAACTAACAATTTAAATAATATAACATCTATTCTAAATTATATAAATACTGGAAATTCTCAAATTAAAACCAAACTTCATGAAAATGGACAGATTAATAAGAATTTTACAGAAGATTTTCATAATTTTATCGAATATTACAATAGTTCCAATAAAGAGCAATTAGAAACTAGTAAATTTGGATCACATATTTTAACTTCTATTTTAAATATAATTGATAAGAATAATCAGTTAAATTTAAAAAAGGAAAATGTAAGTAAGATGCGATATGAAGTAATGAAAGACTCGGTATACAATATTACGTCATTTTTAAAAAAAATGTCAGAACAGGAATATTTAACTGAACACTTAGAGAGAAACATATCTGGATATTTGATGGATATTAAAAAAGGATTTTATAATTTTTTTCAAGAATTTAAAAATTCAAGCTTAGATAATAAACAGGATATTTTTAAAAATTATCTAGAATTTCAAAAACAAATAGAAAATACTGAAGAGGCTCAAATTGACAAAATATTGGTTATGCTTGGTGTCATTTTTGTGTCAATTATTATAATTTGCTTAGTTTTACTTGTGCTTCTGTTCAAAAATTCATTCATCAGAAAATTTGACAATAAAAAAGAACAAATAGAACTATAGGAAAAATAACATTTTAAATTTTGTAATAATTTTTATTAGTTTTTATAAAAACACGACACAAGGTGTAAAAACAAGAAAGAAGTGAACTTCTTTTTTCCTTTGAACCACTTCATCTTTTTAATTTCATATGAGAGTTCGGTCCATACTATGTAAAAGAACCTTTTTTTACCAGAATCAATCTCCAACTAAAAATATACAAGATTGTGTTTTAAAAAGTACTAAAGTATTTATTCAGCATATATATCAAAAATTCACAGAACAAATCTATTTTTATTGAGACTAGCCCTTTCTTTCATTGCCTCAACTATTATACGTCAATCTCTTCTCAAATAATGTAAAGAAATAGTAGTTTACCTAACAAGTGCGGAAAGTAATACTTTTCCACACGCGATTGCAGATAGCCGAACGACGCGTGCAATCGCGTGCGGAAAAATCACTTTACGCACGTGTTAGATACACCGTTTTCTGGTAAAATGTTTATTACTTTTATAATTCCACCAAAATATTGTAAGAAATAACTTGATACTTTGTAACACCCGAGGTAACACCTTTGAAACCTAAAAATGTATTTTATAAAAAATGTAATATAGACTTTTCTTTTTATCACCTCTTCTGTTATGTTAAAATGTTTGTACATATTGTACTTTTAATTATTTAGAAATTGTCTGACAAATAAAGTATCTTTGAACTCATTTGTTTTATTTATTCAAATCTTAAAATTTCACAGATTTATACGATTTATACAAAAGCGAACATTATAATCATTTTTTTCCCAAGAGCTTCCAAACTTAACCAATAAAACCCGATATCGTCATCTCTAGTAAATCAGCCACACAGTTATAGATACAGAAAATAAGTAAGTATACTCTTAATGAGTTTTTCCAAGAAATCTGAATTTTTTTACTATTTACAACAAAAAATCGTAAAAATACGAAGCTTAGACCACCCATGATTTACAGCCTTCTACGCTCATTATAAGTTGACAAAAATAACCATAACAGTAAGTTCTCAAAATACGGCAATAAATCAAAATGGAATTAAAGTCCAACATTCCGAATTTTAAACTTGCCAAAATAAATAACAAGCACGTGATCGAATTTTATAAATTGACTCAGGAAAATTATCGTGGGTTGTAACCATTAAAATGTATGCTCTCTGCTTACGTAGTATGAAGAAAATATGTTTTTTCGAGAAACGTAAAATCTTTTATCAACGCAGGATTTATTTTCATAGATTTCTAAGTGTTAGACCTTAATCTATAAAGTTTAAACTAAATCTTTCCAATCGTGAGTAATGAAAGTGATACGTTTATAGGGCGGACATTTTCACGAATATATTGGTTAGTACATCAACCATATTCATACGCATGATAAGTACTAGCTGAAAAATTCGCAATTTATACCAAAGTCTGTTGCCTGAATGTACAACTTGTTTTTACCCAAAAGAAAACGGCACAAAAGGTCTGTTAGTTTTTTATTCTTTATGTTACTTAAAATGAGCTTATGTTCTCTAGTATTCAAAAAAACATGAATGTGCCACTTTCAGTATCGCACACAAAATAAATGATAGAAAACAAATTAAAAACCAAATAAAAGAACAAAAAAATAAATAGAAAAACAGCAAAATTGGCTACAATTGTGATTTTCGCTAAAGTGTATTAAAATTGTTTTATTTTTTAATGAATTAATTGTAACAAATATGACAATTTCGTGTTTTTGGTCAACACGATGAGAATATTTTAAAGAGCTAGGTACATTATAACAAAAATGTCAGAGATAATAAATTTTATCAATAAAGTTGATTAATTTTTAAACAAGTATAATATTACCCTGTTACCAACAATGGCATTTACTAAAATTCCTTTTGCATTCTCCAATTTTATCGGTATATTTTTATTTAATAACACCAGTATTATTAAAATAATTATATCGCTATATCGTAAAAAGAAAAAAAGTACATTCTAGTCCACTAAAATAGAGAAAATTTTAGCGGAAACTAGGGTAATCTGATACAGAAATCCAATAAATTAAACTGAAAAGCGAAAAATATCCTAACATTAATTTTATCCCAACTGCCTTCTCCAGCAATACTGCAACATTTTGATAAAGGCTAACCTTTAAAAGTACTATGGATTTTCTAATATTATATTTTTGGGGTGAAACTAAAGAAAGAATAAGATTTATAGTTAATATTCTGTGTTATTTTATTTCCCAAACACGGTGCTCCATGTCTATGATAAAATTAACTAATATACAATTAAGGTTTATCTTCCAAGTTAAATTAATTAAATATGTACCTAAATACAATTTATTAGCGATATCTTTTTTTACTTGCAGTTTATTGGTAATAAAAATTGATTAGCTTTAGATTTTGATTGAATATTATGAAACTATACCTAACAACTTTTAATAATTTGTTTACTATTATTGCATTTTGAATGTATTTATGACTATTGCTTCTCCTGCTTTTATTTTTCTGGCTATATAAATAACATTAATTAATTGTTTAAAATAGGAACAAAGTTATTAAAAAAATTAAAATCTAAAAAGCTAATGTAAAATAGCATGCAACCCTCGCATCATACTACAAACACTCAAGATACTTAAAAAAAACTTTACCATGAAAATAATGACTGCTCATTCTTAATGACATTTATACGAACAAAATAATACTTGCAATAAAGACTAGCATATTAAAAAGAAAACACATAAAACTATGCAGTTGTAAAATAAATGAAATAACGTCATTAAGATTAATAATTGAAGCTTGATTTGATGAATTTATTTCATTGGTCTTGACAGCTCTATATGTACAGTACATCCACATATTTATTACAGTCGTTAAAACTTTTTAATAAATTGTTAAATAAATACAAATGGAATGGGCGCCTGCCAATTACATTGATACCATAATGTTGGTAATAACGTAGTTCGGGAAATGCTTGGTATCATTGCGAGAAACAATCAGTCGCTTTAAATGACTTAATATTATAGTTTATTCAGTATTAAGTAATTCTTTAACAACTTTATAATTGGTAGAAGTTATAAAACATTCATTCAATTTGTCGTAGTTCTTAACATTTAAAAATTCATAATGGGCAATTTCTATTGAACAAAAGAAAATATAAAGCATTGCTTAAAGTAGTATTTACTATACACATAAATCATAAAGCGACCTTAGTCCAGAGAGATACGTATAGAGCAGGAGGATAAAACCTTATCTCCTGTGCTGTACATAGACTACTCTACAACTGAACAAAAAGTAGGAGCAGTAGTTGTCGGCCAGGAGCCAATAGTTGACATCAGTAAACCTATGAACTCTAATTACGTTTTTCCAAGTACAAATGATCGCTATACTAGTAGAAATGATCACTATACTAATAGAAATGATCACTATACTCATAGAATCAAAAAAAAGATAATTTATCAACTTTCTTCTTGCTAAAAATATTTTAAAGATAGTTTTAAACACAAGGAAGCCCTTTAAAGCCCTGAGCTCTAACCAAATTGACCTTAAGCTGGTTTGGAACTGTATAAACATTCTTGAGTACCTTGATGTCCGGATCAAACTTACCTTGATCTAGGTACCGAAACACAGCGGTAGGTGGACAATAAAAAAGTCAACGCGTCTACTAAAAGAGGATTTGAATCTACTTATAGGACCGGATTCATGTTTTTTGGTAATACGAGTAAAAGACGCACTGCTAAAAAATTGTCTTAAAATGGGTAGAGAGTGTAGCACTCTTGAATCACTGAGGTAACCTACAAAGCATGTATCCTCTAGAGACTCCACTCCAATGTTAGACTTTTCAACCAAATTAGCACCACCTTGTGTCTCTATCTCTATCTCTCTTCCTCCTTTTTTCATCTTCTTACAATATTAATGTTTTGATATGTACTTATAGGATTGATTACCTAGAGCATGTAGATAAGTGGAATGTGACATGTTAAATGCCTGTCATAATTAAAATGAATGTTTGATACTTATTACCAACTGTAAACTAATTTTCCAACAGCATTTCCTTTTTAAAAATAATATGTATTTAATAGTAGTCTGTTTAAACTCTTTATTTAATATAAAGATCCCAATATTCATAGTTTATTATTTTCTTAATTTAAGATCCTACATCTAGTTTAAAAGTTAATAGGTTTGAAAAGGACCAATCATAACAGGACACTCAGTATAAAATTTATTATTAAAAAGCCTAAGTATTCCTACCTAAATAAATCTTCAGATATATTTTAAATTTAAATGCACCATCAAGTATAACAAAGTTAATAATACTTTAAAGAGAAAAAAATCGTTCCGAAACATATGTGTGGCATGACGAACAGTTTTCACAACAATTAAAATTATGAATCAGATTTCAAAGAAAGCTTAGCTATATGATTTCCTATGTATTAATTATTAACGTAAATTGTAATTGGTAACAAAGATATACTCGTACATATGCGACATGAGGCGGCGCCAGCTTTTACACTTTTTATACGTAGAATATCATATTACGCTCCCAGTAAGTTGAGCGAACTACAAAAAAAATAATGATGAATCATAATACCGCATCATAATATTAGAAGGAAGATAAATAAATAGGGATTTGGAAGAAAAAGAAACATTATACGGTGTTGCCGTTAATAGAAAATTTTTCCCTAAATCTAGGGAAAATGTGCAATAAGAATGGAAAAAAAGGTAAATTTTAGAAAATTGTAGAGAATTTTGGAGAATTATAGAAAATTTTAGAGAAATTTAGAGAATTTTAGAGAATTTTAGAGAATTTTAAAGAATTTTAAAGAATTTTAGAGAATTTTAGAGAATTTTAGAGAATTTTAGAGAATTTTAGAGAATTTTAGAGAATTTTAGAGAATTTTAGAGAATTTTAGAGAATTTTAGAGAATTTTAGAGAATTTTAGAGAATTTTAGAGAATTTTAGAGAATTTTAGAGAATTTTAGAGAATTTAATGTATTTTTTAAACTTTTTTGAATTTGTTATATTTGTAAAAAAAGGATTGAAGAGTGTTATATTATTATAGATTATCCATAGTAACGTTAGGGGGATGACAAGCAATCTAACACATGTCATGTACTAATATTTCACGTTTTGGGAAATAAAAGTATTTTCATAATTTGGCCTGTTATTATACTACAAACCTTAATTCTACAATACACAGTGGCTACAGTCACAACAAAGAGACAGGTCGAATTTACTATAAACCTCACTTTCTAATTATAAACAAAGCAAAGCTTGGTAAAAAAATCCCCAAACCTCGGCTCGGTGGTATTTTACAGGGAAATTACACATAGGAAATTTTAATTTATATTCTACATACTGGTAATTTAACAAAACACAGCAACTATTTCGAATTCAAAATTAATAGTATTGATACAGACCTAGTGGCCATGTTAAACAACCAAACTTACGAGAATTATTACCAAGAATTAGCATCGATGTATGTATTTTGCATTAATTTTTATGATTTTTAATCAGATGAATTTTCTAAATAAAAATTTAAATAGTAGCCATGAAAGATAAATAAAAGTCTAGAAACGAGATTGGTGGAAAAAAATGGTAGGCCCGTAGTTAAATAGTGATGTCGCATATAAATGAAAGTGCGGGTTGTATTCAATCAATTTGTACAAGATATTCTTAGGTTTCATGAGTATAAGCTATTGGTTAAGTATTAAAGTATA